TAAATAAAAAAAAATTCATCAAAATTGATCGATTGGTTGCCGAGATATCTTTGATAAAAGTTCTGCAACCAATTTCGCCCAAGTATTTGGCATCTTCTTCTTGATGTTGATGATTGGCAGCATTTTAGCAACACTGGTTCAAGTAGCAAAAAGAATAAGAATGAAGATTATAAGCGTTATTCATCAATTGAAGGCGTTCATAATATCGTTCATAATAAAATCGGTGGACCAAGTGGTCATATGGCATATACTGAGACTGCAGGATTTGACCCTATATTTTTCCTTCATCATGCAAATGTGGACCGTCTTGTTGCAATTTGGCAAGTTTGCAAGTCCAAAAAAGATAGCTGGATGAAAAAAGACGGTAAATTAGACGAAAATACCAGTCTTGAGCCATTTACAGGTTGGACTTCAAAAAAAAAACTAGGTAAATTTTTATACAGTATCGAACAAGAAACATCCATTGTACTAAGTTAATTTTTCAAAAAATCAATTTATAACTTTGTTATAATTTTATTTAAAAAATAGATACATTAGAGAACTCGGATACACTTATCCTGAACTTGGGATCGGTGAAGACCCAGATCCAGATAAGCTTTTGGATAAAATGCTGAAATTTTACCAACCTACGCCTATTTCGTGAGTGTTGTATGCTTATAGTTGTCTTTCTTGCTTTAAACCATTTTTTATCTTTCGATTTCTAAACAGGGATCGCAAGTGGACGGTCAGCATTAGTGTGATGAAGAATGAAGTTGGCTCGCCATTTGAAATTCGGGTATTTATTGATTTACCTGATAATTCACCAATTCCTCCTGTTACCAGCCCCAAATTTACTGGTTTTATATCAATATTTGCTTGGAATAGTAAAACAAATTGTCCTAGTTGTGATGCCAATCCTAATGTATTAGTGAATGATAGTGTTGACATTACTGCATGCTTGTTAAGACTTAATCTCGTTAACGAAGAAAATGAATTGGACTGGCCACCATACAATAAAGAAAAACCTTTGCACAAGCGAATTTCTCTTGTGCCTGTGTTGTTGGATGGAAGTCCACTGGTGATGAAAGAAGTTGGTTTAAAGGCTGCGCATTGTTGGGATCTCAAAATTCGTGGTAGAGCTGTAGAATATATTAAACTTGGTCAAATAGTTTAAGAAATTTGTATCAATAATACAATACAGTATCAGATATATTTACTGGAATTATTGTTTACAAAATTACAAATTCACTTAAATATCCTTACTGGTATCATATGAGAACACTTTTATAAATTTGTACATAGTATAAATTTTTTTACTGTTCACTATTAAAAATTTCTTGAGAACATAAAATCATAATAGTGTTTTTATAAATATAGAAGTAACTGCAGGTTTTAAGCGAAAGAGATGAAAAAGCTAATGAAATATAATCTACCACACAGATCTGATCTCTGTGCAAAATGCAAATCAGGTATATTTTGTTAGTTCAAACCATTTCATTTATAGTGAAGTGGTCATTTGAGCTTGAGATCACTACAAGATTTGAATTAGTTTTCACTATATAATTAAACGTATAAACTGAATGTCAATTCGGATATCCGGATTGACATCTGCTACTACGTAAAAATAATCATCCGGATATCTTTTATCGACGACGACGTTGTTGTGTCGACGACGACGTTGTTGTGCCCTTTAATACTAAAGGGCAATTCTCAGTCACGAATCACGTTTTTTTAACAGATGCCCCGCGTAAGCGGGGCATCT